GAGGGGTGGTGATTAGAGACTAGAGGTTAAAATAATTCAGAAATTTGAAAAAAAAATTCAATTTTTTTTTTCAAAAACCTGTGGCGGCCTTTAGTCGCGGTTAGCCACAAGAACCGCGACTAAAGGTCCTCCGCCCACGTGGACGGGCCTTTAGTCGCGGTTCTTAAGCAACCGCGACTAAAGGGGGGGGGCCTTTAGTCGCGCCCGTCTGGTCGCGGTTGCGCAACCGCGACTAATGGCAGTTGCGAACCGCGACCAAAGACCCTTTTTCCACCAGTGGGAGTTACCGGTATCCCGATGAATATCAATGTTATGATGAGGATAAACTGTTGTAGTTTCTCGAATATTCCTGGTATTAATGATCTGCTATTCTGTGTATCACTAATGGTGTTTCTTCTGGTATTAATGATCTCCTATTCTATGTATCACTAATGGTGTTTTTTCTAGTTTGTCCACGGAATCGATGTCGTGCAATTTAGATCTGTTTATTATACTGGGCAAAGGATTCTATTTGTCACAAAAAAGAATGTTGCTTGCACTGTCATGTAGCCATAATTTGAAGAATCGAGTTTAGTCGTGTTTCCTGTAACTGAGTTACCGGTATCCCAGTTAACGTCAGTAGCATGATGAGTATAAAGTTGTCGTTTTTGTGAACATTTCGGGTATCAATGATATGCTGCTGTGCATATCACTAGCGGTGGTTTTTCTTGTTTGTCCACGACGTCGTTGTTGTTTTTATTCGGGTGCGTCGGCATAGGGTGTGTAGCTCATGGGGCATGACCGCATAAGGTTCGTGTTGTTTGCGGCCGCCGTTGTATTAGCCATACATAGAAGAGCTGAGTTTAGTTATATATCTCATGTAATGGAATCGTTGGTACTCTTGCCAATGGTAATGGTATAGCTTGGTGAGGGCAACTTTTGTCGTTTTGAGAATGTTTCTTATACTATTGAATCTTCAGTTTAGGCAATGTCATTATTTTAGGTCGACAATGAACAAAGTATGGCTGGTATTAATGATCTGCTATTCTACATAACGGTAATGGCCATTTTTTCGACTTCTCCACCTGAATGTTGTTGTTTCTATTCAGATGTGTCAGACGGCGGGTGTGTACGTCATGGGCGTTATTTGGCTGTCGTATACCCAAAATTAGAAGACGTGAATTTAATTATGTTTTCTGTAGCAGAATTTTTGATATTCATGACGATGTTAAGGTCCGGCAAGAAAGACTTTGTCATTTTGTAAACATTTCTGGTACTACTATCTGCTATTTTACGTAACACCAATGGTGCTTTTTCTGGTTCATCAAATAATTTGTTGAGTTGACAATCATGATACGAAATGGCTCCTTGAGGATATTATTGAGTTGACGTCTCAGTTTATAATAAGTTCCTAATTTCCTGATCTGCATTTTTTTTTGCATGTTTCAGTGTTGGTGCACAGCAAGTGAACCTCGCCTGCATGCACTTCGGCAATTTCAATGCCATAAAATATAAAGAAGGGTCAGAACTCAATAGCTTATTACATATGTTACACAAAAATTATTGGCAGCATTATTTTTCAATGTCTCTATTTAAACCTGCCAACTCATGTTGTCTTTTTGGCCGTTATTTACAGCTCATACCAATCTAACATTATTAAGAAGTAACCATGCTTTGCTTTTTCAGTTCATCTGCATTCACATTGTTGATATTACTCGGTTCATTATCTGAATATTCTAATCTTTGATGATTCTTTTGTAATTTATTGGCTCTAGACTTCTGTTTACAGCACAACTAAACTCTTATATGGCTAGAGATTTTTCTTTTTCGAAATATACGGCATTTCATCTCAGTTCTATTAACCTCTTCAGAATTTGACCGTGTGGTGTTTTTTGCATTATTTCAGGTGCCTCGTGTCCTTGGCTCTTGTTAGGAATGAGTTCTTTATTGTGCGACATGAGTTGGAGGTCATGATCGAGGTAGCACCTTATGTGCCTAACGTTGGATTTGATACCAACTTCTCACTAGTTTCATAACCCACAGATTTTTATATTAAGATAGAGAAAAGGGAACAATCTTAAATCGTTAATCTTATTCTTTTGACGTTTGGTTTTGGAGCACTTAGTTGGAGGTACTGGAAATTCTCATTTTGCTGTTGAATGATTATCCTGTAATTTTTTCATCACCTTTGGTAGATGTACATGGTAGCTCTAAAAAAGTGGCAGAACTTCTTATTTCCTAGCTTAAATGAAGCTTCGCCAAATGCCCAAATAAGAAACTAGCCAACTTGTAGCATGGCTGATTAGTGAAACCATGTGCCTTGAGCACCATTATGTGCCATAGACTTATCTTAATCATTTTTCAGAAGGTACTTATCTTAATAATTGACCTATTATTCATCTTTTGATGCAGCTCGAAGAGCAGATCGCGACATGTGGTCCTAACTCCTAAGTAGCGGCAAGTGAAGGGGGAAGAGCGTGGCCCCATTCAATCCCTTGCATTGTGGTGTCCATGTGTCTCTGAGGATATAGTGCTTTTTCAAAGGTTGTCTGGCACTAAGCGGTGTGTGTGTAAAACTTAAATGAATATTCTCGCGTCCGAACTTTGGGCTCGTAATCCTGTGAACTAAAATTGTTGTCCTGTGTTAATGTCTGTTTGTCTAGTCCATGTTCATTTTTCTGAGAGGAATCAAGTCCATATTCTAGTGTGTCGTGGATGTGTTGCCGGCCCGCCTACAGGCTGTGTGTAAAACCTGTACCTGGTTGGTTGGTCCTCTAGTGACTATGTTTTGCTGTATGTTGTGTTCGTTTTTCTCTATAAGCTAGTCTTGTTGTTGGTTGCTGTACCTAGATGGTAGCCAATCACCATATTTTGACATGTTAAGCATGTCTTTTTGGTCTGGAATCTTTAGCATGAACCTCTTATAAGAGTACCGCGGCACCACGAGCAGTAGCCGGAGGAGGGGCAGAACAGAGGGGATAGCCTGCAGGGCCACATCCAGTGACCACAAAGCTGTCGATTCGTGGGGCGGCGTGAAGAGCATCTCTGGCTTATGTATGTTTGCGTTGGTACGAAAAGTCTGGGCTAATTAAGTCACCAATTATAGCTCTAACTATGAATTATGGAACAGCATACTACTCCTAGGCCACAACGTTATTTAGACAACCCTGAATCACGAACAGGGCATTGAGATTGTTGTTACTGCTCCTGGCAGTGGTGGTTCAGACCTGGTTGATCCTGGGGACAGGTTGTTTGATTGGAGTCACATCGGATTTTCTCTATCAAGTGCAATAGTAGCAATACCCGGGCATAGCTGCAGTATATAAAACGCTTGTAGCATTTGGAATCAAAAGGTATCATCATCATTGAGTGGCCTCCGGACATACTTGGGCCAGTTACTATTATACATAAAATTCTGGCCAGGTAGAGATGATTTTCATGATATATGAGTTCTCACTCTATCTTCCTACTCATTGGTGAAACGTGTCATGGGAGACCTTATTTCAGGGAAGCATAAAACAATTGGTGAAATGTGATGGTCGTTCATCTGAAAACAAAGTTGAGAAGACAAATTATCTATGGGCGATTTAGATAAGCATGGATGCTTCTGCGATTTGATTTTTGTAGATGGAATAAATTGTTTATACCATTCTTCTATTTGTAGTTTGTAAATAACATGAATCCAGTTCTTAGGCATAAACAAGTGCCACCTCAGTGGAGAAAGACAGTTCACTCACTAATGTGGTGATGTCAAACATTTGAATTGCGTATGGAGGATCTTTCATCGCAAATAGCAAAGTTTGATAGGGACTTACTTTAATCGGTCATGAAAAATATCTGCAGTTCTGATCTAGAATTGGCATAACTGAATGTCCAAAACCACATAAATGCATTGCTTGATTGCTTGAAGATTTAATAACTAACACAATGGCGTATCAGTTGCATATGGCCAACCATGGACATCATATTCTTGTTTCGTGGTAATGTATGACACTCAGCTGTATGTTACAACGTGGCAATGATTCAGGAGACAACGGATCCACCTTCTTGTCTGGGGCCAACACACCTCGTTCCTATGATGGCAGTGGCGGATCGGCACAAACATAGGTGGAGGGGGTCATGGCAGAGAGCAGGTCGGGCGACTCCTCCTTAACAATTCGCGGTGAAGTAGTGTGTGAAGGAGAGAGGGCGCCATGGCGAAGATGAGGTGGGTGTCATTCGGTTATAAAGGAGAGGGCTCTAGCGATAAATGTCCCACTACAGCACGAAACTAAGCGAGAAGGGGAGGGTCCTGTGGGAAAAAATGATGGGTGCACTGTGGGCTGGGATTTTTGTGTTCGGACCGCGTGTCGAAGATAACATGGCGGATAGTGTGGACTATCATATCTCTTCTCCACATATGGGTTGGATTTGGGGGATGCCGGACTATCACGGTTGAATTTTGGAGAGTCCGCTGGGCACCTGTTAGATATCTAAATACGCCTGGACGTATGAGGAAGAAATAATCTTCGACCTTAGAGACAGCCTTAATTATTTATTTATATGCATTCTATCCCACAGGAACGCTTCGGCATTCTACTAGTAAAGGAAGCTTGACAGTGTAAACGAAAGCTAGCAGACTTAGTTGTTCGTTGTGCAATGTACGGACTGGCCCATTTTGGGAGCGGCCTTGGTGTGCAGAGCCCATACCGCAACCTTGATTGGACGGCCGTCTCGAGTCGACCAGAAACCGACGCTCGCTTCCGTGGACACACAACCGGTGGCTCCATGCATGCATGCATCGCACGCAGTACGCACGCGGGCCGTTTCCAAGCCAACTAATGACTCCCTGCCGACGACGCAGTACAGCTAATACAGCACTCGCTGCCAGCCAAACGCCTACGTGATAGACCCTCGCGAGCCCAGCTATACAACCTCCGCTCCTCCTCGATCCCGTCCTCGTTCGCTCCGCATCCGCAGCCGAATTCCCCCCATCTCCACCGCTCAGTCCCCCGGACCGCCGGACCACTCCTCGCCTTGCCATGGCAGCCGCAGCACTGAGAGCCCGGCTCAACGCCCACATCTCCAGAATGTATGCCGAGGTGAGCCCACTCCCCTCCTCTTCAGTCGTGTGGTTCTGGGTTTTGGCTTGGCTGGCCACCGGCTGACTTGGCCCTTGCCTTTGCCTTGGCGTGCGTGGTCGATGTCCATCCAGGGTGTGGTGGAGGAGGAGACCTTCGAGCAGCTGCGGGAAGACGGCACCGCCACCGAGCTCGCCCGCCTCTTCATCAACGAAGCCTACGAGATCCTCCACGACATCGACATCCGGATGTCCGACCTCACGCCCTCTATCATCTCTCCCTCTGCTCTCTGTCTCGGGTACTGACTCATCTTCATTATCTGCTCTTGAATTCGCAGGGAGGAGCCGGAAGTGGACATCGACGAGGTGGAAGCCCTGACGCAGCAGCTCATGGAGTGCGCCTCCAGGTGATAGATGACCATCATCAACACATTCTCTCTCTTCCACCAGCTTCTTTTTCATTATAATGCTTGTTGGCCCGCGATTCAGATCTGTTTGTACTTGGCACTGTCGTGTGGCCGTAATAGAAGAATCGAGTTTAGTCAAGTTTCCTGTAAATCTTAATTTTAGGGTGATGATAAAGTGTTGTCGTTTTGTGAATATTTCTGGTATTAGTGATCTTCTATCTTGTGCATCCCCAATGGTGGTTTTTCTTGTTTGTCCACGACACCGATGTTGTTTTTATTTGGGTATGTCGGCACAGGGTGTGCACCTCATGGGGCACGACCGCACGAGGTTCGTGTCGTTTGTGGCGGCCGTCATATAGCCATAGAAAGAAGAGCTGAGTTTAATCGTATATATCTCATGTACCAGAATTGTTGGTACTCTTGCCGATCGCAATGGTATAGCTTGGCGAGGGGAGCTTTTGTCGCGCAGTGCCATTATTCTAGGTCGACAATGTAAAAATTGTCGTTTTATAAGCATGGCTGGTATTAATGGTCTGCTATTCTATGTATAGCCAATGGCCATTTTTTCTGTTTTGTCATTGGAACGATGTTGTTTCTATTCAGGTGTGTCAACAGCAGGGTGTGTACGTCGACATGGGCGTCATTTGAATGTCTTATATCCAAAATTAGAAGATCTGAATTTAGTTGTGTTTCATGTAATGGAATTGTCGGTATTCATGACAATGTCATGGTCAGGCAAGAAAAACTTGTCGTTTTGTATACATGCTGGCAGTACTGCTACTCTACATATATAACGACAATGGTGTTTTTCTGGTTCATCAAACAGTTTATATATTGAGTTGACAATCGTGATAGGAAATGGTTCCTTGAGAATACTATTAATTATGATGTCACAAATATGCTTATGTGTATCAACATGTCTCACTGTTTAATAAGTTTCTAATTAATTTTCTGATCAGCGTGTGTTCTGCATGTTTCAGTGTTGGTGCACAGCAAGTGAAACTCGCCTGCATGCATTTCGGAGATTTCTATGCAATAAAATGCAAACAAGGGTCAGAACTCGATTTATTTTTACATATGTTCCACAATAATTATTTCTTACCAATATTTTTCAATTTCTCAATGTAAACCTACCCGCTGTTGTTGTCTTTTATGTCACTGTATTCAGCTCATACCAATCTAACATCATATATAAGTAACTGCTTTGCTTTCTCACTTCATCAGCAATCATGTTGATATTACTCGGTTCATTATCTCAATATGCAAAAAAATTATGATTCTCTTGTAATTTGTTGGCCCTTGTCTACTGTTTAGAACAGAACTAAATTTCAATATGGCCAGTGTCTTTCTTAAATAGAGGGTTAGAATTTCAGAACCATTTCAAGTCAGTTCTGTTAACCTCTTTACAATTTGACTGTGTGATCTATTTCCATTATTTCAAGTGCCTTGTGTCATTGGATCTTGTTAGGAATTTGTACTGTATTGTGCGCAATGACGTGGAGATCATGATGCAGGTAGGACCTTATGTGCCTAATGTTGTATTTTGATACCAACTTCTCACTAGTTTCATAATCCATAGATTGGTCATATATAGTTTAAGATTGAGAAAAAACAACAACCTTAAATACTTAATCTTATTCTGTCGATGTTTGGTTTTGGAGTACTTTGTTTGAGGTCTCTTATAATTTCATCTAGCCGCTGAATGTTTATGTCATAATTTTGTCACCACATTTGGTAGATATATGTGGTAGCTCTTAAAAAGTAGTAGAACTTCTTTGTTTCCCGGCTTAAAAGCTTTGGCAAATACCAAATAAGAAACCGACCAATTTGTAACATGGCTGATTAGTGAAATGATGGAACTTGAGCACCATTATGTGCAATAGACTTGTCAAAATCATTTTTGGGAAGGTACATATGTTAATCATTGGCCTATTATTCATCTTTTGACGCAGCTGGAGGATCAGATCGCGGCCTGTGGTCCTAAGTAATGACAAGTGAAGGGGAAAGATCGTGATCCCATGTGATCCCTTACATTATGGTGTGTATGTGTCTCTGAAGATGTGGCGGTGTTCAAAGGGTGTCTGGCATTAGAGGGCGTGCGTGAAACCAGACGAGGATTTTAGCGGCGGAACTTTGGTCTCATAACCCTGTAAGCGGAACTTGTTGTCCTTTGTCCGTGTTTGTTCGTGAAGTCTATATACTTATGTGTCGTGGATGTGCTGCTGCCCTGCCCACGGGCTGTGTGTAAACCCCATCCTGGTTGGTTGGTTGCCAGCGACTTTCTTTTGTTGTATGTTGTGTTGGCTTCTCTCTCTAAGCAAGTCGTGTTGTTGGCTAGTGCACCAAGAGTGCTGCAAATCTCCATACTTGGATATTTTAAGCATCTCTTTTTGGTCTGTAATCTTCAGTGTGACTTGCTTATAAGAGTACGATGGTGCCATGGGCGGCAACAGGAGGAGCGGCAAAGTAGAGGTGATAGTTTTACTGGGCGACATGCAGGCATGACGAAGCCGGCAATCCGTGGGTTGGCACAAAACCAGATTCCAGTAGTGAAACTTATATCGATCAGAAGTGAAAAAACACAGAAGAACTACAAACTGAATTTTCTTAAACTCTTGTAAGATGAAGTATATACCGGACTGTTCCAAATAGTCAGCTCTCCACAGCTGGAATTTTTTATTCTACATAAGTACAGTAAAGTATTGTTTAAGAAAAGAAATACTCAGCTGAAGGAAAGACTATGACAGTAGAGACGGCTCTACAGACATCAGCTTCCAAATACCACTTGGCATTGGAAGGGAAATAAGGCACTTTTGAAGATCCCTGCAGAACTTTCATAAATGATAACCCCTTCGTTACAATTTACATTGCAAGCATCACAATAAGAAAACCGTGAAGAAAGTACAAAGTGTGATTTCCAACACATCTTAGGAACTAACCACTGAGTATGTGCAAAATATATAGGTATAAGCCAACCTGATTTTTGTTCTTCTCTTGGTTAATGTGCATTACCAAAACCAGGTCTAGCACCGTGACCGGGCGTGATGCGATCAACGGTGTGTGTCGCCGGAACAAGAGGGAAAATGTCCCAGCGTTCGTCGCCAGGGGAGTCGACCGTCGCCGTGGGCGTTTGTTCGCCTGGTACAATCGTCTCCTCGTATTCTTGTGATTGTTCGTCAATCCTCGGGTCCAACAATTGGTAACAGACAAGAAAAGCGGTGTGCGTCACCGGAGATGAGGAAGACGGCATTGTGTTGCTAGACACGAAGAAGAAAGATGGCCTTGTTCGTGCGCAGATGAGGCATGCAGCGGTGTTCGCTTCAAGGACGCCGTAGCGGCGGCCATGGTGACAAAAACGACGGGAGCTGCAACAACTCCGAGATTATGGGTAGATTGTTGGGAATAACCTTGTCCTGGATGCGTTCCGGGTGTGTTCGTGCGTGGTCGTGAGTCTGTTAGCAGGTTAGTTCGTGCATGTAGTTGTGTCAGTTGAGTAGTAGATGCTGGCCGAGTCATCCGAAGGAGCCATTCGAGGAGGAGGGCGTGCAGTGCGTGTGTGTGTCTGCTACTTACGCGGCTGTAATCAGTTTGTGAGATACAGTGTGTTACCGAGCAGTTTGAGCTGGGAATAGAAAAGGCCGTACATGCGGCATGGCGTTGGTCGCCTGAAAATATCCATTGTCCTCCTCTCCATCTTCTACCTCTGTCCGCGACCAAGCGAGCGAGAGGGAGGGAGGGCGAGCTGGTCCGGGGTTAGTCCCAACAGTCGTTACCACGGATTAAGATGGCCGACGACTTCATGTAACTTACGCTAAGTCCACACGTACGCCTCTAGCGGGCATTTGACAAAGTTTAGGTGAATATTTGGCAAGGCGCATGGGCTGCTCGGCCCATAGACAGACCACGTTGGGAGGTGGGACCACCCAGGCTGGTCTTCGAACCCGGACGAGCTGTCAAGGCTTTCACCCGACGCCATCGCTTATCCAGCGGCAGTTTCCCGTTTCCGAGCTCATCAATGGCAAACGCCTCCGCAAGAGCCTGAGCAATACAAGGGGCTCCATCACCCCTCCACTCCTCGTCCATTCCGCTGACGCCACAGCAGCGAATTCCCCAGCGCGCCGAGCCTTCCGACCCCGGTCCGCCTGCCTCCTCCCGGACCTCCTAGCCATGTCGGCCGCCCAGATCAGGGCCGAGATCAACGGCCTTATCGCCTCCAAGTTCGCCGAGGTGAGCCCCCCCTCTCTCCGATCAACGTCCCATCTACACCCCGTGTGGTTGTGGGCTGGAATCGCTGAGCATCACCGTTTTCTATCGGTTTTGGCCGGCTGGCCAACTGACGTTTGCTCTGCCGTGGTGGATCTAGGGTACGGTGGATCAGTATTTCTTGCAGCTGTACGTGATGTGGAGGTACAAGAACATACGCAAGGGCATGGTCGTTGAGGTCATGGAACGCTTCCTCCAAGACGCTGACAAGATCCTCACCGAAATCGCCGTCTTGCTGTCGGCACCCCTCTCCCTCTGGTGTCGTCATTCTCGTCTCTTCGGGTATAAACTCATCTTGTCTGTTTCTCTGCTCTCATGTTCGCAGGAACCAGCCCCAGCTGGACTACGACAAGGTGGAGGGGATCGCGGATCAGCTCGAGGGGTGCAGCAGCAGCAGGTGATGATGACGACAAATACCCCTTTCCATTTTGTCCCCGCCCTTTTTTAACTCTAAGTTTGTTTCTCCGCTGCATCAATGTCCACATTCGGATGTGTTTGTCATGGGTATCTATGTTACATGGTAATAAGGGGATACGGGGACGGGAAATGGCATTTTCTAAAAATGGACTTACAGGGATAAGGCGAGTATATGCGTAGATGATGAATAAAATAGTTCAATGGTGCTTTACAAAAAAAATTAATAATAAGTTCCAATATTAATATTATAAAATGCCAAGTTGAAGGCCAAGGCTTCAAACTTCAGATGCTTCATCTCCTATCATCTCTTGCAAAAACTGGGGCTCATGATCAAGTGGGCTCATGATCAAGTGCCAGTTCAGCACCTTCATCTCTACACACTTTCAAGTGCCAGATCTCCACCAACATAAACCATTCTGCTTGTCCCACTCACATAATCTTTGGACTTGACAGTAGACACAAGTTATCGTGCATAAAAACTAAACCCACAGCTCGTTCAGGAACCAAACTATTTCTCATAGTGTTATGAATAAAAGAATATGCGCTCCAATTCATCTCAAAACAAGAGGACGATGCTGGCGGCCCAAGTATAGCTTCAATCCTAAATCCACATTTTCAAAAATAAAAAAGCTTCAAGGCTAAATCTTTTAACTCTGGAGTGTGCACACCATAAGTTCCCCACCATTTCTTTGGATCAAAATGAGCTCTATCATCTATTGCTTCTCGATCTTCAAAGGTATTCACAAAAGAGAGAGGTCAGCAAATTGTTTTTCACTTTCCTCGTGTCATCTGGATTTGAAAAAAACTGCTTAGTTCCTGTTTTCTGTAATTTCAGCGTCATTGTGGCCACAGCGTCATTGCGTCTATGAGACCAGGAACTTCCTCAATCCAGCTTGAACTGTAATCAATACTTTGGGTTCACAGAGTGTTCCATACAATGAAGGGAAGTGTGACTCTTGGTCCAGCGAACTGTCAAAATTTTATGAACAACATCATGAAATGGTGATTGTTTTTTTCTTTTTTTGAATGAAACAGAAGGACGTATTTCTATTAATTTTCAAATAAACAATACAAAGTCTTTGAGCTAAAAATAAAAGAAGTAAACAGGAATAAAAAATTCAAAAGGAAGAACTAGATTACAACAAGTACAAACATGCTTCCCAGTGCTCCTTTCTTTCATCCGGACAGATAGCAATTTTCACCTTCTCTATCATGGTGTCCCATGTCTCATAGATAAGATGAAGAAATGATTTATCTGTGCCGGTTGTCCTTATCATCAGGAAAATGGGTTCAGTGAAGGCAAGAATTAACTAATATTATCGCACCACTCCTCATTAAGAATCATTTTTTCACGGATGATCCTTTCTCTAAATCACCCTCTTTATAATTATTCCACTCATTACATAGAACCATTTTCTCAAGACATGACTTGATTAACATGAACCTCTTCAATATGATGAGACTTGCAAATGTTGTCTCTGCAATCGCAAGAAATTCTTGCTTGCTGAACACATTGAACATGGACAACCTCATGTTGTGATTCAAGATACAATTTTTAATATAGAAGGCATCATCTCCAGCTTGTTTTATCCATTTAAATTCAGTATTTTCACCAACAAAGTTCTTCGGATCACATATGTCCTTCATTACAATCTTGAGGGGTTGCACAACACATGGAGTCCAGAAAATATTTCTGTAATGTGTTTCAATCCTCAAGCCAATCTATTTGCAATTCGACGTATTGTCGGCGATAACCTGGACCGCATTCTTTGATATGACCTATTCAATTACTTCCTTCAACCTATCAAATATGTATTCCTTGGTTTTTACCTATCAAAATAAAGAACTAGAAATTGTCAGCAACAAACAGCGAGTATTGTACAACACAAACAAGCAAAAGATAAGGTAAAAATTGTTGTCTAATAAGCTTTACCTCCCTTTCGGTATTGATTGCTTTTAGGAACATGGGGACACCATATGTCATAGATATGATGTTCAAAATAGGGTGTCGTTGAGGATCATACCATCCATCACTTGCATATTCACTCCCTTGAAGAGCCATGTCATCTTGATCGGCTCAAGCATCCTCTCAACATGGAACTTCTCCTTCTGCAGAAATGTGGTCCTCAATGCATCATATGACTGATCTGAAAAAAATGCATCATATGGTGGAGGCACATTGCCTCCCAATTTTTTGTTTGATACATAACTGTAAGAGGCAGGGTTTCTTTCCAAATTGATGGGAAGTGGTATAAAATAGAAGTGCACACCACAATCAGCATGCTTGCAAGGTGAACACCACTAGTAC